ACACTGCTAAATTAGGGACGGCTAGCGCAGATAGCCCTCGTGTAACTTTGCGCGAAATTCAAAAACAAACAAATCCTTTCTAAGATTCTTATTAGAGGTTTGAATTCCTTGCGGTATATGGAATCCGAATTGTCTAACAGCGTCGCCGAATTCGCACTAGTTTCCATGATATGACGGATACTCCCAATCAAAATTCCACACAACACACTGTAGTGGCAGTACATGTTACGCAATATAAGATCAAGTTCCTCAACTCAATGAAGCCGTTTCCACCGTGATTTTTGCGAGTTCTGTCGCTAGAGATGACCGAGGAGGGGTACAACAAAAATTAGATTCTTCTATAAGATGGCGCCTGCCTGAAGCGAACACTTCTACTACTTTGTGCAAGAGGAACACATTCCAGCCAACCCTCTAAACTACGTACCTTCGTGGCCAAACACTGGGTACAACAAAGATTAGATTCTTCTATAAGATGGCGCCTGCCTGAAGCGAACACTTCTACTACTTTGTGCCACAGTTGGCGTGATTTACTGTTTCTAACTATACATTGCATTACCATGTCTTTGACTTTGGTGTTTTAGGATGTCCAGCTTGTTAAGCATATACGTTTATACCTGTTAATAGCTTGATTGTTTGTTTGTTTTGAATTTCGCGCAAAGCTACACGCGGGCTATCTGCGCAAGCCGTCCCTAATTTAGCAGTGTAAGACTAGAGAGAAGGCAGCTAGTCATCACCACCCACCGCCAACTCTTGGGCTACTCTTTTACCAACGAATAGCGGGATTGACCGTCACATAATAACGCCCTCAAGGCTGAAAGGGCGAGCATGTTTGGTGTAACGGGGATTCGAACCCGTTACCCGCAGATTGCGAGTCGAGCGCCCTAACCACCTGGCCATCCCGGGCTTATAGCTTGATACAAACAGTTTGTTTTCATCTCTCGAGTTTACTAGCCTTTTAAGCATTTCATGATAAAATTAAAATGGACTATAAAAACCAGATCTGTCTTTATACGATGTAAGTAGATCATGTACATCACATGACTGCTCTAGATAGCGTTTTAACTAATATTTTGCTGTTGTGATTTAGGTGTGTTCATAGATTCTGACGACTTTAAAGAACGTTTTAATTAAGACCTCAATGGTTCTATCCCAGTTAACCTGGTAGTCTCTTGTGAAATTAAAGAACGTTTTAATTAAGGTTTTAGAGGTCAGCCTAGTGGGGCTCAGGTTTAGCGCAACCAACAAACAGTTAATGTTATGGTATAATGAACTTCGTAGAGCCATATCTTAGGTGATGAGAATGCATTTAATACTTGAATTAACCCCTTGTAACTGAGTTAGACCAGTTTTGGAGAGTTGTATCTTTTCCAGTTATTCTGGACGAAGATATAACAAGAAACAAATACAGCTATTTCTTACTGATAAACAACACTATATGTGCACTATATATCCTTATTTCTTACAAGGTGACGCATATATATATATGTACGACTCGGATGGCTTAGCGATACGTCTGAGGGCCTCTAACGCTAAAAATCTTATGTCGATACCTGCAGTGGGCAGAGCACAGATACCCCGTTGTGTAGATTTGCGCTTAGCAACAAAACTAATTATATATATACATACAAATAGATAGATAATGTAGTTGCTCTGATAAGTGACGTTCACGTTTAATTTTTTGTTCCATTGTTACGTGCCCGGCATGGTCAGGTGGATAGGGCACTCGACTCACAATCTGAGGGTCGCGGGTTCGAATCCGCATCCCAACAAACATGCTCGTCCTTTCAGCCGTGGGGGCGTTATAATGTGACGGTCAATCCCACTATTCGTTGGTAAAAGAGTAGTCCAAGAGTTGGCGGTGGGTGGTGATGACTAGCTGCCTTCCCTCTAGTCTTACACTGCTAAATTAGGGACAGCTAGCGCAGATAGCCCTCGTGCGCGAAATTCCAAAACAAACAAACAAACAATCCATTGTCACAAAGTAATTTCAATTTCGACGGTTATTATCAGAAATACTGTTTCTCAAAATATTTCGGAAACAAATTAGTCTAAACTGGTTCGGTTAAGGTTCCTAATTCATTAGGTTGATCGTAAATATTTTCGTTAAAAACAAAATTGTATTATGTTATGGCTAAAGATACTGACTTCGCAAACACGTGGTTATATAAAAGTTGTTACAATGTAAGAAATAGATGTGTCTTATCTTTTTATAGCCCCCCAGTGGCACAGCGGTATATCTGCGGACTTACAACGCTAGGAACCGGGTTTTGATACCCGTGGTGGGCAGAGCACAGATAGCCCATTGTGTAGCTTTGTGCATAACTTCAAACAAACAATATTCTTTTACAAATATGTTAGAAACACGACATTTTTAAAATATCATGATTATAAATGTATAATATAACGTACTCAACCCCTGTAGCATGATAACTAATAACTAACGTACCTAACTGCTACTACTAAAAGCTACAGTATATAACATAACGTTTTGAACCCTCTGTAGCGTGATTACTACTACAGTGTCGTAGCTAGAGTATATAAAGAGTATTGATATTCCATAAAAATATTTATCAACGTGAGGAGAACACCTTTTAAAATATTTTGTCTTTCTAACCAGCTAATGTGGCAAAAAAAATGTCCAAAGAAAATAATAAAATATCTAGATTCCATGGTTCATTTCCCTGTTCTGGCAAACAGATATTTAACAGACAAGCTTCATTTCTTGATTCACTTAACAAACACAGTTGGATGATCTATAAGGCATGATGTAAGTGTTCTGACCTTTCACTTGTCTTTTGTAAGTTATTACTTAACGCCCTGCCTTTATAAAAGATAAGTCCTAAGGAAGAAAATATCGAAAGACAAGAAATCTATCGTTTTTTTTAAAACATCCATTGAATGTTTGTTGTGTAATTGGATTATCCGTTGAACTACATATATTGTATTGCACGTCTTGAAATGTTAAGGTTCTATCAATTCATTGTGTGAAACATTATATTATTGTAACTGCAGTTACATGAAGAAGGACGTTTCTATTCAAAATTACATTGAATGTTCTTTGTGTAATTGGATTATCTGTTGAACTACATATATACTGTACTGCAAGTCTTAAAATGTTAAGGTTCTATCAATTCATTGTGTGAAACATTATATTATTGTAACTGCAGTTACATGAAGAAGGACGTTTCTATTCAAAATTACATTGAATGTTTGTTGTGTAATTGGATTATCCGTTGAACTACATAAATTGTACTGCAAGTCTTAAAATGTTAAGGTTCTATCAATTCATTGTGTGAAACATTATATTATTGTAACTGCAGTTACATGAAGAAGGACGTTTCTATTGGATTACCTGTTGAACTACATATATATTGTACTGCAAGTCTTAAAATGTTAAGGTTCTATCAATTCACTGTGTGAAACATTATATTATTGTAACTGCAGTTACATGAAGAAGGACGTTTCTCTTCAAAATTACAATTACACCAACATGTTTTGCACAAAATTTGATATTTTTTTCTTATATTGTTCTCATGATAACCAATAGGAATAGTTTTATAAATATATTTATTTAGTTAACAGCAACCATATTAGAAAATGCCTTGCTTACGTTACCTAGAATTCACAAAAAGTAGGAATTTTCGAATGTATCCTTTGCAAGTTTAATTAATTTACAGTTGTAGTCGCCCGGTAGAGTGGGCATGGGATCCTCAGCAAGAACAGAAGCTATGAAGCGATTGGAGAACCTACGACACGGAGCTGAGCTGCAAGGAGATAATGAAAACTCCTCATCTCTCCCGCCAGCTTGGTTAGATAAAAATAAGTTTTATCAAGCTAAGGAAGTATTTGAACAATATTTCTTCAGGTGAGTATATATGAAATGAGCTAGTCTTGAAAGAACAAAACTCAAATATTTTGTATGAAAAAGCAACTAAGGCATTCACTAAGTTATTAGAAACATACATTACTATACAGATTATAAGAAGATAATACTGTCGTTATTCGAATTGCCTATCAATTAACGTCCAGTCTGTGAGTCGGTGAGACGGAATTTTGAGGATGAGGTGGGCTACAGAGGGGTGCCACGGTTTCCGGTATTCAAATTAGAACTTTAAAAAATTTACCCCGATAGAGGCATCGATCTTTTAACCTAAAAAAACACTTTATTGCCAAACAAGCTCTACCTTTCTGTAGTGTTTGGCCACGAAGATACGTAGCTTAGAGGGTTGGCTGGAATGTGTTCCTCCTTTTTGAGGTGCTTTGTGCCCGAAAGTTCTGTTAAGGTTTTGTACGATTCCTTGCGATCCCTATTATGAACCACTATCGTGGTTCATGATAACTTATTAAGAACTAGACTTAGGTAATCTTTTTTAGCAACTAGCCATGACAACGGTGATATGATCACCATAATTTCATCTCAAAGGTAGAAAAGTTTTCGAAAGCAGCCCAAAATGGAATTATTACATTATTTTTTTCTTGTACTCTTCACGTTTTATTATTCCGAGGCAGTAAATTTACCAATCACTATAGCAGTTGGTGGCGATTTTCTTATATCACGCTGATGATTACAAAACATAGGTTTATTACAGTATTTTTCAATGTGCTTGCTAAGTGGGAATCGTAAAAAAAGTAAAGCAACAAGGCTGGAGATACTGTAGTCATTATTTACTCAAACTACAAACCCCTATTTTGGCTCCATGGTGTTTCCTAGATTTACATTTGGTGGAGTCGAAATAGGGATTTGTAGTTTGAGTAAATAATGTCTACAGTATCCCATAAGCCGAGAGCTTTTGAAAGCGCTCAGGTTATAGGGTTTTTATTCATTTCTATCACGACTTCTTGAACCCACGTGTTTTTTAACACCATTAATATCTACAGTATCTTCGGCCTTGTTTCCTTCCTTTTTTTACGATCCCTATTTGCAGGTTTTTAAATTCCCAATTTTTTATTTATCTTATTTGCTGTCATTTTTATGCTCAACTATTGGCATAGGATTGCTTGATATGTAGCTAACTTTATATAATGTAATGATAATAAACATAGCTAGTAGCTAGCTGATACAGTTCATGATTATTTACTGTAGCTATTGACTATTTGATCGCATTAGTTCGAGATGTAAAACATTAAGTTGCAGCTGGAGATTATCATAGATATTAGTTTGAGAATATAGTGATAATTTGTATTTTCTGTGTAATTCAATTATGTATATATAGTGCATAGCAATAGTTAAATATATGCCCAGACTAAGACATAACCCCACTCCTTCACTTCATCCATAACATAGTGATTGGCTCCCTAAAGACACCGATTGTATAGTGTACAAATCATGAGTATCTACATATTACAGTCATCTAATGTTCATCTATTATTGGCTAGTAATTCTTCTTTCACCCTGTACTTAAGCTTTTTAAAGGAATACCAAAAAGCTAACTTCAAGGGGTAATGATAATATCGATTACACTAAAAGTATGATGTTTTTAGCTTATGTAAAATATAGAAGAAACAGTACTTTATTTAATATTCTACAAAAGGTTTGGGTGCGATATATATCAAGTTATTTTTGTTGTAGGCTGCCAATAGAATAAGAATAATTACAAACGGACAATTTTGAACGGATTTTTCTTTTACTTATAGATCTAACATACGTGTTTTTTGTGCATTTTTATATGTGTACAGACTTAACAGTCAAAAGTATAGGTTTTAGAGTGTTGTTTGAACTGAATCTTTACCATCCACATAACCTATAATACACCCATTCAACTTAGCACAGAAGTTAGCAAAACCTGCATACATCAAGGATAAAAAAGTATTCTCCATCCACATAACCTATAATACACCCATTCAACTTAGCACAAAAGTTAGCAAAACCTGCATACATCTCTTGAAAGTATTCATATAGTTAGATGATGCAAGTCATGATGAACGAATGGATAACACACTGGCTTTTCTAATAAAAAGCCCAGGAAAAAATCCAGATCTCTACCACCACAAAAAACAATCCTTCCCAGAACTTCCCAGTAGATGGCAGGACATTAATAACCGAAACAAACATGAAGTTATAAAAAAATTAAAAACATCCGTATAACACGAAAATGAACCCTTTAACAGATAAATGTATATATAATCGAAGAGTCAGTCTCATGTCTATACATAATATCACAAAAACAAATTTAGTAGAAAGGAATTAATTTGATTTCAATTGAAATAATATGGTTTTCGTTATGATTAGCGTCAGGCATTTAAGCAATTGATATATATATATATATATACAACGAAAAGGAAAACATATGCATATATTGCTTTTATATATATATATACATACATTTAGTCGAGCCAATTCTTATTCGTGTATACTTTTAAAATCTAAGCACAGTTTTACACTTATGCATTTTAAGATGTATGCATGACTTTGGATTTGTATAGTTTAAGATAGAAGCATAACATTCTATAATATGTTTTAACCTGAGTAAACCACTTATCCTGAACGTTTGCAGAAATTAGCCTTATATGTTTTATATCTGCATATGTTGTACATTGAACAATATATTGCTCTCCTCTTTGCCATCAAAGAACCTGCCATTGATTTTTGCTCAATAATTTGAATTTGGATTCGCCTGTAAAGAACACCCCCCTCCAGCTTTGCTCACCACATCGTTTGAAACCTGGTGCCTATTTCAGCTATGTTGTTTAATTACAGCTACACACTCACAGAGGGTACTTTATACTAACCTGTATCTTACTTTTATGGAAATAACATTCACACCTGTACCTACAGTTACGTTAATGGAAAGATCTCTAATGGATTGTCGTGTATCACATAAAGATCATGTTTTGAATTACTTAACATTACTTTAGTAAAGTCTGGGCTTTCTACTTCATCTTCTTCTATTATCAATAGCACTATTTCATCTTCTTAAGAGTTTCCATACAGCTCCTACTGAAACATGAGATCTTGCTTCAATCAATTCTTTTTGCCTCAGTCTCTTGGGAGTACATGTGCATTCACCAAATTACTGCTGGGAATAGTATGGCTGTCTATACTTTTATTGAGATTGTGCTCCTGGATTACAAACAATCACAGTGTTGAATATCATTTTTCTTACAATAAAAGAAGGAGCAGTACCAGAATGTTCGCATTTTATTTACTGTTTCCATAATTACTTCCAATATCAAATTCTAAAATTGAAGCCTCGTAACGTATACAAATTTTAAATTGAACCCTTTGGATATTTATTACAATATGTATATACACTTCATAGCTCAAATCCTTTGCAAGTTACACACACACTTTAACTTAAGTACATTATGAATTTATCAGTATGCATATACACTTTCTAACTAACTTTCTTTTATCCACTCACATCAATACCTTTTAACCTCATACCACCATCACACCTTTATCATTATATATATATAGCTTTTAGCTCTACTCTCCCATTTAAATGTTGATAAAACACATTTATGTTTTAATTTTTAACAGGAGACATATATTTTAGACATCGTATCAGATACTTTAACAGTCACACTACACATACACAAACATATATGAATATAATTCAAAATTATGACAGTTATGGTTTTCACTTATTCCATTAAGATTCCATATAATGGTTCTTTAGCTCGTCTCGGAACTGTTTGTTCTGTTGAACTAGTCCGAATTAGTTCCAGTGTCACAACATCTACAACAATTTCATCTGTTGAAAGCAGGACACACTGTTAGTAATACTGAAAGTTTTGGAAATAGTAGCTATAGAAGTTGTTGAGTTGGTCGACAAGTCTTTTTTGGCCTAATAATAATAATAATATTGTTTTTCTTCTTGTTTCTTGATCTTACTAGCCTTGGGAATACATTCCTGGTGTCTATTATGTCGTGCTCCCTCCAAAGATGGGTCACACCATCCCCTTCTGTGGTGATACTATGGCATAATTTTTAATGGTGTACGGTGCATTCCTCTGCTTTCCTACAATGGTGGATTTTAATCGAAGCAAATATGCCTATTGCAGACTGGGTAATGGCCTCACTAACTGATGATGTGATAACTGTGAAAGATGGTAGTTTATCTATTTCTATCAATGAAGAAAATCAGAACTCCACGGGTTTGGCTGATATGGTTTTGGATGGTTTCAAAGCTACAATATTTTCTTATATCACCATTATTTCATTCATACCAAGCTAGTCCAGCAATATATCTAGCATGATGGAAACCCAAACAAAATCATTTTAGTTGTCATCCGACTGAAAAAAATCATCTTCCATGATATGAGAATAGCTCAGGTAACTCACCAGAAGATCGGTTCAAGAAGCAGAATAAATAAACTGACCACAGCTTTGATGCTTTTAGCAAAGACAGGATATAAGAATCCGTGTGAAGTTGGCCTCTGATAGTTTAGAAATATAGTCAGCAATGTAGGATTAACTGTCGTAAATGGTTGGTAAACTGGTTGTAGAGAAAGATTCTGTAATAGAACGTAAGGCAACAAAACAAGAGTTGGTACGATTTCTTTTATAGAAGTATAAGTACATACTCAATATTAGTGTTTTTGAGCCTCTTCAGCACAGAGCCTCACCCTCTCCCCTTCGAAAGTAAGGTCCACACTAGTCTTTCTTAAGTTTGAACCTTACAGCCATGTTAGCTACTGAAATCCTGCCGCCATACAATCTTCTGATTGGTTCAGTTCCAACCATATCAACTCGAAGGTCGACATCAATGCTGTGCCTAATCTTTTGAATAGTGGAACTGTTCCACAATCGATGCATGCACCTCTGACTCACCATGAACAATCGTAGAAGTATTTCGACATCTTCGTAATCACTTGTTGGGTCAACATGGTTATAAAAAAGTGATTTTTATCACCGCTAATTCG